GACGGTGTAACAGCAGAGTCGGCCCGGACATCTCTGTGTGAGTGTGCTTATAATATGTTCAGAAGGGGGAAAAATTAGTTGGTCTCTTAAAAAAAAAAAGTGAGAATTGTTGATAGTCGCCGGTATGTGTTTTGTTTCTACTGCTTCCTATCCTGGCAATTCGTGTTTGGTTGGAAGGCGCTACGGGGAGGTCCTACTTCTTTTTTCCCCTTGATTGAATTGATCATTATTGTGTTGATTTGATTCTCTTCACTCAGACATCAGTGATAATTCTTGTCCCAATCTGTCTGATGAGACTGTTTCGAGCGTTGTACTGACGTGTGCTTCAGCTCAACATCCAGGGGTAGTTTCGGAGGGTGGCCTGGCCTTTCTGCTTCTGTGTGGTTTTGTTACTTTCATTTACTGCCGCCAGTGTTCCTGGCGAAATGTTGTCATTGCCGTGCTTATTTGTTGTGAACAGCAACACTTACACTTTGATACATTTTGTTCACAGATCTTGTCAGTGTGTTAGTGTTTGTTGAACGCTTAATCGGCTGCTTGTGCTGTAGGCTTCTCAGGGAGCCCAGAATGTTCCTGTATCAGTTACAATATGTAGTAAACGCATAGAGCTGGCTGTTTACCATGTTGAGCTGGAATTTGCTCCTTACAAATGCTGTTTATTATTGATATGGATGTCTCCTCATTGTAATGCCTTGTTACACTTGTATGCAAAGCGCACGAGTTCCATTCTCGCCTGGGGAAAATGAATTATCGAATAGAAGATCTCCGCCTTTCCGAAAAGGGGTATTTAACATGCAACGTGTTGGCCCAGACAGACAAGGTCAAAGCAACCCGCGGTGTAAAGATCCAACTTGTGTCGATTGCCGGGCGTAAAACACTTTGGCCATTCTCATCACGGTGACAGTACCGCCGGATTTACCGCCTCGTGTATTGTGGTTTAACCGCTAGCTGGTCTCCTTTACCCCCCCCCCCCTCATGAATCAGCGAGTTAGAGCGGGGGGCTGTATCGTTTGCTCTTGACAAACACTCGCCACCTAGCACTGCGCCCTCACAACTTTCCACTAGAGGCCGTGGATAC